AGAAAGAAAGAAAGAAAGAAAAAGAAGAAAAAAGAAAAGACGGCTCTTGCTTGTGGAGTCCTGACTAACAAATATAAAGGGGGTGCTGAAGTTGGAAAGCTGTCGTGTTATAACCATCAGTGGAGGGTAACTGCCGGAGAAAATTGTGAGGAGAAGCAAGATATTTGCATAGTCTTAAGAAAAATGTCTCCATGTAGTTAAATTATTAGTTAGAGAGAGAGGAAAGAAGATAATTATACAGTGGGGAAACTAGACCATACCTGGAGCAGGTGATCAAATTAATAGCATCAGTGTTTGACAGATGGTCATCATGCGCCTACAGATGTGACACCCTTTTAGAAAGACACAAAATCACCTATGTAGAATTCTGTCTAAGCATGAATTCCTGAGGAAATATGAAACTCAAATTGAGGAAAATTATATTTTAAAATAGGGAGAGGAACTGTATTCTCCCAAAATGTCAATCTCATTAAAAAAAAAAAAAGTTGTGGAAACATTTCAGATTAAAGAAGGCTAATGACACATGACAACTGAATACTACCTGACCCTAGGCTAGCTCCTTTTACAGAGAGGAAAAATTCTATAAAGAATATTATTAGACCTATTGAAAAAAATTGGAATATAAACATTAGATTAGAATAAAGCATTATGTCAATATAGGATTTCCTGAGGTTGATAACTGTTCTGTAGTTATCTGAGAGAATATTCCGGTTCTAAGGAAAAACACACTTAAATGTCCAGGGGTAAAGGATTCTGATTTATGCAACTTACCCTTTAAAAAAACAAAAAATGGTTGATTGGGATACAGAGGAAAAAAGCAAACAAGATAAAATGTAAACAATAAGTGAATCTGGGTAAAGAGTATATGTGTGTTTTTTGTACTGTTTTTGTTGCAATTTTTTTCTGTAAGTTTAAAATTATTTCTGAAATAAATGTTTAAAGAAAAGTAAAAAATATATATTCCTGGTCAGGAAAAGCCCTTGTTAGATCAGATCATTGTTTTCTAACATTTTTTCCACAGACTTAATATAACAAATATAGATAAGCTAAATGGTGGATTAGGTGCAACTTGAAGTACCTTAGATATTATTTATGTATTCAGTTGTCAATACTTACCGCACACCTATTATATGCCAGATAATGTGCTACAATAGGCCTTTTCTCTTCTCCTCAAGAAAGCATATTAGAATTGTGAATGAGAATAAGTCATTGGGAAAAAAAATAAGAAAATAATTCACAATTTATTAGTGGTAGCAAGTTATTTGCAATAAACCTGATGTTCTCTACTCACCTCTGTGCTTTAGAAACTCATCTGAAAGCCACTGGCTGAGCTGACACAGCCCAAGTCACTCTTCTTTATTGACTTGAGGGCCAGAGAATTGAGGTTCCCCTACCTTAGTTCTGTGACCTGTCCATGTTCCTTAATAACAGAATTCATGCTTTCTCACTGCTAAAAAGAAATCTGTCTGAGATAGTTGTAAAGTCCTCCAGTTCCTTTTAGTATTTAGTAATGACTTTGCAATGTCATTAAGTCAGCATTTGGCGTCCTGTTAAATCCTGCGGAGTCCACCAAGACACCCAATTCTCCCAGACGGTGACTGTTAATTTGTACATGTGCCTTTGTCTTAGCTTGTAGTATCTGAGACTCCTGACCACCATGCATCGCTTTCTTATACGATATTGTTGAAGGGCCAGCTTGTTATTGTCCACTTTCAAGAAATTTTCAGCCCAGTCTGAATCATCAGAATACAATGCAAGTTATTCTTGGATTTGGGCACTTGACAAATTTAGGGACAGATGTAGGTCTGCCACTTACCAGATGAGCAATGTTAGCCAAATTACTTAATGGTTCTGATCCTGCTTCCTCTCTTTAAACTAGAAGTAAGGATGCCACCTTCCTCAGAGGACGATTGTAAGAATTAAATGTTCGGCACCATGCCTTGCATATAGCGATTACTTGGAAAACATTAATCATTCATATTACTTTAGGAAGATACAAACACCTTTTATTTAACAGCTGGTACCAGGATTCCTCCTTAGGGTGATATTCTCCTTGTATAAGTTGCTTCTGAGGGAGAGTAAGGCCTTGAGGTTATGGATTGGAAGAATACAGGGAAATGAAAGAGCGAGTGAAGCTACTGTGCACAGTTGAGCAACAGAAGTTAAAGGAGAAAACAATTATAATGACAAAAAAATACCCCCCCCCAAAAGAAAAATTAAGGAGGAAGAAATAAGGGAAGAGAGAAAGGTTTTTCTATGTGGTAGGATGCCAAAGAGTTTTTAGGAGGTGGGACGTTAAATTTTGAGTTGTCTGCCTTGCCACAAGTTAGTGCCCTATGTCTTTCCAAACCTCCGGTTAAAACTGTGACTTGAGTTAATGTTCTTGTTTTTGTTTTGTTTATAGGTTTGTTTCCATAATGCAAATTGAAGTGAAGGGGATGGGTTTCATGACTGGGACAGTGTTGAGCAGAGAAGAATGAACAGATGCTGAAGAGAAGATGCAAACAAGATTTGCAGCCGAAGTAAGTAGGACCTAAAAGAAACTGTGAAAAGGAATCTCTAATGAAGCACAGAATCTTAAGAAATAATGGGATGGGAGCTTAACCTCACATGTGGGTTTTATCCTTATTATAGTTAAGAGAATGGACTTGCCTCAAAGAGCCTAGTGTCCAGAATATTTTAAACTAGACAAAACATTAAAATTTAGGAAAGTATAACAGGTGTACAGTCCTGTATTTACATGTATAATTCCAAAATGCGAAAAGATCTGAACATGTATTATTTTGTTCAGTACCAATATTCTTTTATTGGAAAAACCTGACTTTATTCACCATTAGGCTGCCTGTTATCTCTATTTATTGCCCTAGTGGGTATATTTATACATTTTGCTAAAGAGTTATTAATGTGTTGGATTATGATATGCTGCCCAGACTCTGCTAGTGTTGTTGGCAACCTGTGTATGTATGCCACACGTCCTTACCCAACTCAGAACATTCTAAATTCTCAAACTCTTCTGGGCTTAGGGTTTTGCATAAGGGATTGTAAACATAAGTTCAGAACAAAAGAAATTTTAAATACGTGAAAAAGTTGGATTACCTTCCAGTGTATTTCTAAAGCTGAAATTGGCAGTTCTATCCATGGAACCTGATTCATACTGGGTCAAACTCAGGCACAATTCCACATCAGCTGAGGAGGGGAGCCTCTGCGTCCTGGCTTTGTCGTGGTTTCCTGGGTTGCGCAGTAAGGGTCCCTCGGAAGTTCCATTGCATAAAGCCTGACGGCTGTTGTACTCCTCCAATTGGCTACAGATGATCTGTACAAAAAACCTTTATGTTAAAAGAGTTGTCATGATCTCTAAGTCAAAAGGGGAAGGTAGGGAGTTTGAAATTCCTGATTATCACATTTGGATTTCTAATCATCAGGAGACTAATAATTTAAAGTAAATTGTTAAAAGAAGCAGTTTTCTGAGGGTTGTAGGAGAAACTGTGAAAGTTACAATCTAGAACAGAGTTGTAGTCTAGTATTTACCACTGAAGAAAACACGAATTCCCTAGGCCTCATCTATCAAATGGGATAATAATAACTACCTCATGTAATTTTTGTTAAATATTGTTTTTTGATGAGAAAATTAATTTGACAAACATGTGTTAAATATCTGTTGTGTGACTTCACTGGCTATGTGCCCCTGAAGCTAGCCCAGAGTTTAGGTCTGCACCCTCTTCTTTCATCTCTTTTGATATCTTCTCCTTTGGCTATCACAACTAGTTTCATGGTTTAAATGGCAACTGCATGATAAGAATTATCTTAGTCCTATTTCTGGTCCAAAACTATTCTTCTGAACTCTAAATCTATGTATACATCTTTGACTTCATTGTTCAGTGTTATCTCATGCATCTCAAATGTAACATTAGAAATCCAAAACCTGTTCCTCTCCCTGTATTTCCTATCAAAACGACCACCCTGCAGCTCACACCAGAAGCCCATGAATCATCATGTTTAAGCCAGAAACTGGTGAGTTATTGTTTGTATTTCATTCTCTTTTGTCTTTCACATTGAAACCATTGGCCAATATCGTCAGTTCTACCTCCAGAGAAAATCTTGACTCTGACAACCATTCTCCATTGGCCTACAAATTATGCGATCCTACTGCTAAATTCAGGCTGGCTACTCTTCTCTGGGCGTTGCGGGGACTTCTCTGTCCCATGCTTTTGTTTATGCTTAAGAATGCCCACTCCTTGCCATGTATCTGATATTTTACTTAGTTTTCAAGGCCAAGGAGATATTTTAGAAAAAACACACTATAGACTCTGATTTAAAAAGTAATTCAAGGGGTCTGATTCTAAATAGGAAGAAGTTTTAGGGACTATCACCAACTTATTTTACATACAGTTTCCTTTACATGTGGGTGGAACAGTAAACTATGATAAAAATATTTGATGAAATAAGTCAAAAGTAGCTCTATTTTTTTTTTAAATTGGGGAATTGAGGGGATGGGAACAGCGCTGGGGAATTGGGGGAAGAGGGGAACAGGCAAGTTGCTGTCGTTTTTGTTCTTCAGTCTAGTTGTGGAGGACATTGCTTCACTGGCCCAAGTTGGCACCATCATTGCGCTCTTCCTGGGCGATGCAGATCAATCGCCGGCTTCTGGATGGCCACTCACTGCAGCTGCTGGTCGCTCATGCTGGCTGCTGGCTACACATGGTAGCCCATGACAACCCACTGTCACAGGGGCTGCAGCTTATGCTGTCACCAGTGACTCATGGCAGCCCAGCTCCAGGTCGAGCTGTTGTTCAGCATCTTAGCTGTAGAGGGCAGTGTCATGGGCCCTCACATGTGGGATCCGAACCGGGGCCCTCTGGCATCCCAAGCCAGTTCTTAACCATTGCGCCACTCGGCCGGCCCAAAAGTAGCTCTATTGACAACTTAGAATAAAAATTCTAAGTTCTTAATAATATCATAATTGGTAGGTTTATTTTTTCTCAGGGGTATATCAATCTTCATCTTAACAATCATTGATGCCTTAGATTTAATGAGAGCAGGTAACTAGGTAGCGAGATAACAACCCTAAACCAAACCACAAGTGCAGGAGAAAGTACCATGCCATCACTCACATTTCACAACAGGCACATACTTTCAAGGAGATCTGTGCCTACTGAGTAGGTAACATCTTCTTTGTCAAACTTAAACTTTATTCACTGTAGCCTACTTTGATAAACAATCAGTGTCATCTCCCTTAAAAAGTATATAGTCTCTATGAGGACAGCTTTCACTTTTTTATTATTGTTGATTCTCAGAATCTCGAATAGAAGCTCAATAGATATTTGATGGATGGATGACAGATCAATGGATAAATCAATGAATCTTCAACTACAATTGTGTTGAGCACCTTTTGTTCCTAGTCCTATTATTGGTACCAACCTCTGCCCTAGAAAGTATTTTCAGAAATACATCATTTTTATTAAATATATATTGGGCCCTACTTTGTCCAAGATCATAAAAAAGGCATCACTGTGTTTATGTTTGAAAATTTACACCTTGATGGTTTATATGATTTAATCCCTATTTTAATGATGGGGGAACTGAGTCTGAATATGGAAGAGTTCAAAAGGCTAGTAGGATCTAAAACCCTCTGCATGATTCATAATTTTATAGGCAACATATCAGGCGCATAGAACAATATTTTACAAGTGAAAAGACTTCCAGATCAGTTGTTTGTACCACAGTTAAAAATAAGCAAGACAATCTATCAGTCTCTTGCTCCAGTGAATTTGCAATCTATAGGAATGTAAAAGCAAATGAAATCACCATCAGCTAGAACTGAATGAGCTGTTCCCCAGGAATGGCTGCTACTGTGTTTAATGAGATACACTTAGAGAAGCTTTTAATTTTTGGTCACTAAGATATCATTTATGAGTTGAAGTACTGTGTGGTGAAAAAAAAAATCAGGCTCTAAATTCAGGTCGATGTGGGCTTCATTTCTGGCCAGATTACATACTGGCATTATCAATGAGCATGTTACTGAGACTTGCTAAGTCTCAATTTCCCCAACTGTAATAGGAAATAATGTTAAATATAATATGAAATCATAAATACATATACTATTTTACATAATATGTAATTAATATATGGATAATTAATAATAACATGAAATATTGGGTTTTCGGAAAAGTCATGACATATTTTTTCTGTTTTTCATTGCAAAAATGTGTCATGACTTTTCTGACAACCCAATAACAGTTTCTGGCTCAACGAGTGTCAGTTTCTAGTTTTCTTCATACTTCAATACATTCCTCAATCTTTTTATCTATGAATAATTGAGAGCTAGAACAGTTAGGTGACTTTTGTAAGGTCATAGGATGTTTACAGCCAGAGCTAGAAAATTAATATACAGTCATCTGATTCCAAAGCTATCTCCACTACGTTTATTACTGCCTGTAAATAGCTTAAGAATGGTTGAGTAAATGTAACCTAACTTTTGCATCGAATGTAGTATATTGGATTCCTTTATAAAAGTATAGATTAATTAGATATCACAGCAGGTACATAGATGAAGTCATTTTCATTCCTGTTTGAATAATAAAACATCTCAGGATATTTTCAAAAGATCCTACTGCCTAAAAGACTCCTACAGCAGACTTAGTTAAATTAGAGAGGTTTGAATGGAACTGTAAATTCCAACTGCCAAGTGAGAAAATGTTTGGATGACTGGATATAATAGTAAGAAGGGGGAAATCTACTTTGGTTCCTGAAATAATTTGAAAAACTTAATCCCTAATCACTGTCTTTATATTTAATACAGAAGTGGAGGCAGGGTAGGAAAAATTGTTAGTACTAATGTTTTGATCATGTAGATCAGTCAGAAAGACATGGTTCCTAATATTTACTCTATTAGTCCCATGACCTTGGGCAAATTATTTAAGCTCTCTGAGTATGAATGCTTTTTATTTGTAAATGGGGATTATAACAGTGTTCTATGAGGGATGGAATAATCTAACGTATGTAAAGCAGTTAGTATATAGTGCCAGATATAGAGTGTTTAATACAAAGAGCTCTTTTAATTATTATTGAATACAAGACCATTGGGCAGGCCACCAAATTGTTTTTAAATTGAGTGCTATAATACTGGTTGAATATTCTTTATTATAACTAACATTGATATATCATATAGAGATATGTTATATTATTATAATTATTACCACACATGGAACTCAAACAATGTGTCAGATACTAGTAATTTTATATTAACAGATTTCATTGAATCCCTTCCCAATAATGCTTTATGATATTTTATTCTAATTTTAGAGAAAAAACGTCTCTGAATAAATAAGTAGCTTGTACTGGATATTGTAGCTAAGTAAGTTACGAAAGTCTACTGAAACTCGTGTTTATGACTCAAAAGTTTATACGTTTTCCACTACATTATTCTGCTTTTCATTCCATTTAGTATTTCCATCAACAAGAAAATAAGCACATATGATAATTATGCCTGATTTTTTGTTGTTGTTGAGAAAAAACAAAGGTCAAAGATTCCAAATAATTTATCCAATATCATCTAGTAAGTGGCATAGGTTTTCTGATGAGGAATTTGTTCTTTTTCTATTTCAACACAGGTGCTTTAAAATATATGAAAAGAGAAAAAAAAATCAAGTGTGTCAAGTCAAATGAAAAAAGGGAGATAGGAATAAGAAACAGATGTGTTAATAGAGAAGGTGAACCTAGATAGTGCTCTCTTAAATTAAAAAAAATAGCAATAAATTACCAGTTATTGAAAGCTTTCAGGAGCAAAGATTCTATTATGGCATTAGAGGTTTTCTCTGAAAAAAAAAAAAAAAGTAAACCATATGACATTCCACAGAGTCTTTTTCATAAAGAAAAAAGAACTGTTGCCATGGTTACCTAAAACCCATGACTCTCTGCTAAAATGTGACTTTTTTCCTTCCCACTGTTTTCCTTCCACATGATGTGCTTTTCACCTGATGAGTGAATCCCCTGGCCGCATTTCACTCATGTCTATAATCTAGGAAATGTTTTCTTCTCTTTATTTTGATCCATCATGACAGCTACTCTTGATCTACCTTTTCTTTTCATGGCTAGCTTACTTGCTGCTTGTGTAACATTGGATCTAATTGTATTGAGCGTAGGTATTTGTACTTTAATGTTATGAAGCACCGCCCCCATCTCCAAAAATAGTGGGGTATTTTAAAAAGACAGACATGCTTCTACTTGAGAAGCTCTTGACACTAAACAAGCAAATAAATGAACAAACACCCAAAAAAGATGTGAATTCTGAATATAAGCTTTTGTATATATAGTTATATATATAATTCCATATATAATTTATGCAATAGAAAACTCTACTGGTAAATATTTTTAATCACACATAACATTCAGATATCTTGTAACTTGCTTGATCTTCTTTAGTGTGTGCTCTTTTTTGCATACACACACACACATGTATACATATAGAAGCCCAGAGAGAACTACACAAAATGTTTTATTCTAGATTTTGAGGAAGTTGCTGCTTATTTTGGCATTGTTGTATCCTTGGCCTTGGGGATCTAATACTATAAAGAAGTATGGTGGGGATGAGGGAGAAAAGGAAGGGATTAGACAGCGTAAATAGGTAACTACAATATTGCCACAGAGATATGAAAGACAGTTCGAGGAATATAATTAATAATGTTGTAAATATTTTGTAGGGTGTCAGATGGTCATATGTCTTGCTAGGGAGACCGCATTATAGATGGGGTAGAGGCTTGATCACTGCACT